TTTACGTGAAAAGCATGCTCTAGAAGCTTGGATCTATAGTTTGGAGCCATTGCATGGCTTAAATAAGTCTGTATGGCTTAAGGACTGAAGGAACGCGGCGAGTCACAAGGTTGACTCGGCGAGTCGTATGAAGATGACCTTGAACTCGACGAGTTGGATGAGCAACTCGGCGAGTCCGATGAAGATTGCCATAGACTCGGCGAGTTGTATGAACAACTCGGCGAGTCGGATGAGTTTTCTCCAGGACATGTATGCGTGTGTATCCATCGTGTTGCAAGAGGGAAACTCGACGGGTGGCCTTAGAATTGGATCAAGAATCGGAGGAACTCGACGAGTCACCTCGATGACTCGGCGAGTTGGAAAGTGCTTCAAGGAACTCGGCGAGTAGCCGAGGGTACTCGGCGAGTTAAGGTCAACATGGACTATTGACCTTGACTGAGGACTTTGACTTTGACCAGGGGTTGACTAGTGGGTTATGGAGTACCTTATAAGGTTAAGGACTTATGGGTATATTGTTCTATGGTAATAGGTGGTGGAGCTTGTGTCAAGTGATTCGAGAGTTCGGATCTATCTACCGAGTCGACATCTGTGAGGTGAGTTATCCTCACTATATCGATAGGGTCTAAGGCACCAAGGCCGACCCTTTTAGTTGTTATCGTTATGGTATGCTATATGTGGATATGATCTGTTAGATCGGAATCAGGATAGACAGTATTTTATGCTCTTATGATCCGTAGGGATTAATATGTTAGTGACCTGTTAGGTTAGTGCTCTAGTTATGAGTGATTGCCATGTTTGGTGATCAGTGAGATAGATATGTTTGATGATTGTATATGCCAGTATATGTTAGTTATGCGTACATGATTAGTAGCTTGTTGCTTGGGTTGAGGCGGTCCTGCTCTGTGTTGAAGGCCAACACACCCTATGAGCGGTCCGGGGAGACTGTAGGCCCACGTGGCGGTCCAGTCATGCCGAAGGCTCGGTATAGATTCAGTTGGACTGTAGGCCTTGGAGGGCGGTCCAGTCAGGCCGATGGCCCAGTATGCATGTTGATTGATTGATTATTACGGACATGGTATTATCAGTGTGGTATTGGTATTTTGGGGGTAGCTCACTAAGCCCTCGGGCTTACAGTTTTCAGTTTATTGTTTCAGGTATTTCAGGAGTTCATGGCAAGGCGAAGGCGTGACCGTACCGCTCCTCATCCTTATGATCTGGCTTTTGGGACACTCTGATTGAATAATGAATTGAAAACACTTTTGTAAACAATTGCTATTCGATTTTATTTATGCTTGAAAAGTTTAAATTTGGCGTAAAATTTATGGATGTTACAATGGATCCTATATACAATCAAATACTTGATTCTACCCTAAGCCCTTCATCAAACAATAACAGGAAATAAGGCCAAACCAAACATTCTCAGGCTATGGAATCTTAGTTATGTACAACTATGATGCACACACTAAGCAACTACATTAATGATGTCAATTCCATACAAGAAACAATCCTAGGTTATCAGGCATCACATATCAGTCAATTCTATCATGCAATTCCTGAAGATCTCTAACCTACCACTAGCATGTTGTTCTAACATAAACACAATATCAATAACAGTGTGGGCAACTTGGGGTATACTTTCTTGCTCCGACTGATCGTACACATCGCATCCTTCCTTGGTTACTTTTGAAAACATTTTTGAAAACTAGTTTAAAAACTTTTGTAGTTCCCTAGTTTGAGTCTAGATTCACACGAATGTTCATTCAGTTCTCTCAAACCATGGATCTGATACCAACTTGTAACACTACAAAAATTTTAAAATCTTAAAATCAACCATTAACCATCAGTGTTTACAAAAAAGCCATTATTTCAAAAGTAAAGTCATATCAGAGTGTCCCAAAAATCTATATCATAGAAATAGGAAGGTGTGCACGATCAGGCATTCGCTTTCCTACAATCCTTAGAAGTACTTGAAACAATAAACTAAAACTGTAAGCTAAAGCTTAGTGAGTTACCCCAAAGTACCAACACACTACAAAACAAACAAAGCATGTAAATATGAGCATTCGGCCTGACTGGACAGCCTCGCAAGGCCTATAACTTATCTGGACCGCTCTATGAGCCTTCGACATGACTGGACCGCCTCACAAGGCCTACAACCTATCCGAACCGCTCTTTGTACCTTCAGCATGAATGGATCGCCTCGCAGGGCCTACAACCTATCCGGACCGCCCCAGGTGTCTTGGCCTTCAGCAGAAAACAGGACCGCCTCAACCCAACCACAATATGTTGACATATGAACAGATAACATAAACACAGAACCAACGAACACAGATAATCATGCCGATCTACTAATCAACCATATACTAGCATATCATTATCCTAACCAGGATAAATAATATAGTGGACCGGCATTGCTGCCTTCGACCCACAATTACAGTGAGGAAAAGTCACATCTCAGTCTAAAAAATATCTGATAGAACACAGCTCCGAATGACAACTCAACCGGTCACCTAACACCAAATAAGGACCGATCTCAAATACCACTCATTTTACCTAAAATACCCTTAGGTCAAAATTAGTCAAAGGTCAACAAACCAGCCGAGTATGCTGGGCGTACTCATCTGTACGCGGGGCATACGCTGCTTGACCCAGAAATTTGGACTTTGACCGCGTACGCTCAGCGTACGCACCTGGTCAGCCCCTTTTCTCATTAAGAGCTTAATACATCAAGTCCTTACGTCCAAAATCAGATCCAATCCTCAAATGACATCCTTGACCATAAAGTTTCCAACTTTATGGTCTTGCATGGCCAATAAGTGCTTAACACTAAAAACATTGACTGCTTAACCTATTAAGACCTTGTAACCCATGCACGGAAGGGAAGAAATGATCAAGACCACATTTTTATGCTTCTAAGAACCTCAAAACGTCTGAAAGGGCAACTTAAATTGATTGGAGTAGCTCATACTCAAAATACCAAACTAATGGGACTAAAAGGACACAAACTTCATAGCAAACTTAGGTCTATGCATAGCTTCATCAAGTTCAAAGCTTTTTACCTCTAAGTGAGGCCAAATGGTGATGAGATTCTCGATCCAAAGAGTCATACTCCTCCAAGATGATCTTCTCTTATTCCTCTCTCCTTCAAGGTGACCAAAACACACACACAAAGCTCAATAGTGCTCAAAAATGGATTAAGGTTTGTTTGGGGTTGGACGCTGATGAAAGAAGGTAGGTTAGGGACTTAAAGATGTTTAAATATGGTCTAAACCCTAAAAATTAGGGTTTGGGAATCATGCACGTACGCCCTACGTACGCTAGGTATCCCCAGCGTACGTGACATCGTGCTAATAATTCCAAAAATGTCACTATGGGCCATTTTGCAACATTTCTCACACACAAGGGCTAAATACAATAAATTTTTATACTTAGGGTTTAATTTGGAAATACCTCATCAACGGGATGTTACAATATATATATATATATATATATATATATATATATATATATATATATATATATATATATATATATATATTGCAACGCCTAAAAAGGGGTTTAGGAAGGAGGGCGGGTGTGGTGGGGTTATCTTGTGAGGACCTTCACCATTTGAGGATATTTTGGGACGGGGTGGTGTTCTCACACCCACCGCAATACAACATGGCACTCACCGCACACCAAAGAGGAGTACACCCTTTGGTCTTATGAGAAATTTGTGGGTGATACACAAAAGTAAACACAATGTTTTGAATCCAAGGTTCCCCTTGACGAGAGTTATCCACATATAAAAGTGTGCAAAAGTCAATACAAACCGACAAATCAAAATGAGAAACTAACTTAGGAATGGGTTTGAACCACTTATATCTAGCTATAAAGTTTCTAAAACGCTGATTTTTGTTCGGTTTATAGCAAAATTTTGAATCGTTTTAAAAAAATATCGTACAAATCTAAAATTATGTTGTTTTGTATTTATATATTTTAAACATAAAAATGTTTGTTTGTGTTCATTTAACAATTCATTTTTGAATCATACCAGTTCTGAACGACAACATATTCATGATGTTTTGTTATTTTGAATTTTTTTTAGTTTTAGTATATATGTGTATTTGTATTTACCCTAACTGACAACGCTCATATCCAATATGCAGACCCTAAAGGTACCGATTAGTGTTGTTAAACTCCGCAACTCGGTCGAGTATGCTTACTCGAAACTAGACTATAAATCGATCGAATTATTGAATTGGCGAAACTTGGGAACTTAATAAAACTTAGTTAAAATTAACTTATAAACAAAAAAAAATCAAAAATTTAAAAATTAATATGTTTATTTTTTATTTTATCTAACATTTAATCCTGAAACTATTATAAAGGCACCGAATAAACGAACATATACATTGTCCTCTCTCAATTTTCACATTCAAGATTTTGAAGATTAAAATGTTTATTATTTTAACTAGTTAAAGATTGGAACATTTATAATTTTATTGTTATTTGTTTATTTTGTTATTAACTTAATCATCTTATGATATTTGTCGTATATAAAAATTGTCATATTTGCTTTACAAATCCAGTATAGTCGAGTATTCATCGATTAGACCGAATACTCGCTACTTTTTAATAGACCGACCTCATAACACAGAAAAAGTTTTACAATATTGATACCGAAATATAACATTGCTCAGTTGGTTCATATGTGTTGGGAGTTAAGACGAAGGTTTAACTCCAAGACCTCCCTTAGTTATTGTTTCACTACTATGGGGTGGTCTACTTATTAACCGGTCAATTCTTCATTAAAAAAAGACTACTGTTTACCCATCACATTATACTCTTCAAGACTTCTATGGTATTACCACATTAAAAATCAACCTTTTTAGCATCTAGACTAAAAAATATATATCAAAACACCAACCCATAATTTTGAAGGGATCATAATTGTACACAACTACAAACATAAAGGATTAATCTCTCTCTCTCTCTCTCTCTCTCTCTCTCTTCCTTTACGCGTTTTTGCCGTCACCAGTTTATTCGCTCAACTACACCTATCATCCCCGTTCCCCCAACTAATCGAATTCCACATTCATCCATTAAAAATTCAACATTTCATCAATCTTCATCACAGACCTTTGACAAAGCTACACGCAATCACCTCCATTTCCTGGAAACTTCTCCCCTTTCCCTTTCCTTATTATACATATAAACCAACACCCACTTAACATTTTCCTCCAGATCTCACTTCTGTTCGCTCAATTCATCATCTTTCCCACTTGGGTATCAAGAAATCAGCAATCTTAAACCATGGAAAACAATAATCAATCGTCTTTTTGGCAGTTCAGTGATCAGCTTCGTGTTCAAAGCAACAATCTTTCCAACCTCTCCCTCAACGACTCCATCTGGAGCACCTCATACGCCTCCAAACGCCCCGAAAAAGAACGCCGGAACTTCGACATCCGTGTCGGCGGTGACTTCACCAATTCAGGCACCATCAACACCAACCACTCCAGTTCATCCAACTCCGATTTTAATGGTTTTAACTTTGACTGGAAAGTCGGGTCAACTAATCAGAACCAGACCGGTGATTTTGGGATCAACGGTGGGTTTAACAAAGGAATTTACTCAAAACCCAGTTTGAATTTTAATACCACTGATCTTAATTTCGAGAAAAATGGGTTCAAGAAAGACGGGAAGTTTGGTAAAAATAGCGACGATGATCATCTTTCATTTGGGGTTAAACATGGGAAGAACAAGAAGAACAACAGCAACGTGAATAACAACGAAAAGGATAACAGTAAAAACAGCGTTGATAAGAGGTTCAAGACTCTCCCGCCATCGGAATCCTTGCCGAGAAATGAAACCGTCGGCGGCTATATTTTCGTCTGCAACAATGACACCATGCAAGAGAATCTCAAGAGGCAACTTTTTGGTACGTTTCTTACTTAAAAAGAAAAGTAATAAATTAGTAAATTTCACATCTTCTTTATGATCTTTTACCTTTTTTATGTCGATTGTGTGAAAGATTAATCAGACAAAAAAATTGCATATATTTATGGTTAGATCGATCATCTTTTTCAAGATTTAGGTCTTTGATCAATTCGGTTTCCAGTAGTTCTAGATAGATCATATGACAAAACACCTTTTAGATCTAGAAAACATTCAAGGGTAATTAGGTAATTCTACTTTACTTGAATAACTACAAAAAAAGCTATTGAATACAATGATACCAGCTGTAATTTGCCAAATTTTACATTTACCATTAAAAAAAAGAGATCAATTTTAGAAAATCCCGACTTTCTCATTTAAGTCGATATTAACTCCATAAGAAAACATTTGCATGCAACTTAGGGAAATCTTTAATTACCAACATGGACTGTTTTCTTTGATCGAATAGTTAAGGACTATTTTACCCTTTTGTGGTTATCTAATTTACATTTTAAACTGAAATTCCAGGTTTACCCCCGCGATACCGGGACTCGGTAAGACAAATAACACCGGGACTCCCTCTTTTCCTTTACAACTACTCTACCCACCAACTCCATGGTGTTTTTGAGGCTGCAAGTTTTGGTGGAACAAACATCGATCCTTCTGCATGGGAAGACAAAAAGAATCCAGGGGAATCACGCTTTCCAGCTCAAGTTCGTGTTATAACAAGGAAAGTAGCCGAGCCATTAGAAGAAGACTCTTTCAGGCCGATTCTTCACCACTACGATGGCCCTAAGTTTCGCCTCGAACTCAATATCCCCGAGGTAAAATTACCTTCTTACCCTTTTGTTATCTATATCTAAACTTTTTGCCATCTGGATTGGTTGGGAATCTTACAAAAACGGTGTCTTTTTTTGCAGGCGCTCTCGCTTTTGGACATATTTGAAGAGAACAAGGACTGATGTTTGCTCTCAAGGGGTGGATGATCGGTGTGTGTGTTGTGAAGTGAAGGGCACTTTCGGAAAAGAGAGATGTGTAAAATTTTTATATTATATGAAAAGTAAAAGTAAAAGTAATGTATGTTTATATCGAGCTGGAGAGTTTTAATAGTGTAGAAAGTTTGGATATGGGATGTGTAGCCGTGAAGACGATGATGGTGGTAGTCCCTTTTGGTTCTTTGGCTCGATCGAATACATATATGTAAAGAATACAAACTTGGTATGAATAAACAAAAATACAATACAAGTTTTAATTATGTTTTGGCTTAATGTTATTGAAAGAAAGTTTGTTTGGTGTTTGCAAGTTGTAAAAAATGGTAAGTTGGGTAAAATAAATGGATATTTAATAATCCTTTAAATACATTGTAGTTTATATAAGAGTTAATGTCACAAAACTATTACTAATAATTGATTGTTTAGGTCATTCATCATTTAATTTAACTACTTAATAGACTAAGAAATAATATTTTGGCCCATATAAATTGTCATTGAATCCCAAGTGACGTTCATATTATGCATCTTGACATCAAATATGACGAAATTTGTCCACTTAGGGAGGAGGGAGTCGTTCCCTCCGAACCCAATGAATCCACTGCCACATCAGTTTTTCTCTTTGATTTTTCTTCATCTTTCCCAACCTACAACACACGGAAATCTTATCTTTCTCAACCCACTCAATTAAAAAAAAATACAAAATAATCAAGGTAAAATCTTAATTAGCAATAGAGTTATCGCCGGTACCACTCACTTTTTAGCCGGTTGTTTAATTGGTTTTACGAACCCACTTCATCCTCTCTCTCTACTTTCTCTCTCTCTCATTTTCTCTTGTACCGTGTGTTTTAAGATTTGTACCTTAGTTGTTTAGTATTTTTTTAATTGAGTGGGTTGAGAAAGATAGGATTTCCGTATGTTGTGGGTTGGGAAAAATGAAGAAAAATCAAAGAGAAAAACTGATGTGGCAGTGGGTTGGGAGGGAACGACTCCCTCCTCCCTTAGACATCAACTGTGTCATTCAGTGACAATTATTCAGTTAAAAAAATCATTATAATAGAGTAATGAGTAGTTTAAAATAGTAATTCATCTATTGAATACAATCTAGAAAATAACCCGAAAAACAAACTAAATCTGAATAATTTTGCTAAACCTTGTTTTTGACGTTAACTTTTTTTACAATGAATTCTTTCTTTATATAAAATCTTTGGCTTCTTTTTCTTACCTACCATTTCAAATTTCTAATCAATGTTTTGTCAATTTGGTGGATATTTTGCGATATAAAACGATGAAATCAAAAGTACAGATGTCGACTAAATAGAAGGTTCTGATGATATTTATTTGGTAGTCTGAAGAGATATTAAAATAATAATGAAAGATGTCGATGAAATGGACAAAGTATATGCGGTGGTTGTCGTTGGTGTGTGACACTTTGAACAAGTCTAGATGGCCCTCGGTGTTTGACAACTCACCCACCAAATCAATATTCTTTCTTTTTCTGGTGAATGGATCTTTTCAAATTGTTTTTCTTTGCGATGTGACCCTTGTCCTTTGATACGTTGCCAATTTTAGTCCTTGCACATGGTTTTTCTGGGACCATTAGACTTTTATCTACTACTCTAACAAGTCTTGGATGGCCCTCGTGTAGGAATTTTATATTTGTTCACGTAAAAGGAATCGGATTAAGTTTCGACTTTGGTAAATAAAAATACACATTCTATTAACTAGACAAAAACATTAAAACAATAGAAAACATGTCTCTAAAATTTATCAAATTATTCTGAATAGTTATTATTTCTTATCTTCATTGATTGAGTTAATATTGGAAAAATAATAATACAAAACAGACTCATAATTATCAATAAATTTCATAATATATTTTTTTTAAAGTTAATTGACAACAAAACCTTTGAAATGAATATTTATTTAATAAACAATAAAATGATCCTTCTAGTGTGGTAAAATTCCTTTTTTAGTCAAATTTTGAAAAACTGAAAGGTCACATCCTTGTGATTTTTAAATTTTGTACAAGTGATTTGTCAAATGCACGATGTTAGAATGACCAACACACCCTTTATTTTTTTAGATTGTCATTTTTTTTATGAACTACAAAGATCAAATACATAATTGCAAAGAATAGCATCGTCGTCTACGACCTCATCTCCGCAGCCAACTCCAACCTTGTCTCCCATCTCTCAGCCTCCATCAGTACCGTCTTCCCTATCTCTAGGGACGGACGCAAGATTTCATAGTAGGGGTGTCGCAGGAAAGTCAAGGGTTGCATGATAGTAGAAAAAAAAATTCGAAATGTTTTGCACTACGTCCGGTAAAGTCAGGGTTACACGTTTCACTCTGTGCCCTATTCTAAAACCGTCCTGCCTATCTCCAACCCTTGTTACCACCCAACACCTTATTCTCTGGTAGATTGAACCACACCCATTGCCTAAAGAGACTAAAGCGCTTCCCCACCCATTCTCCCACCGCCTTTTGCTCAACCATGAAAACGGTATATCAAGATCATTCGGCCAACCCAATTCAACTTTAGAGACGATAAAAAAAATGACATAACCTGCCAATCCAATTCAAATTAGAGGGTTAGGTTGAGATTTTCAACCATTTAATTTAAATGAGTCAACCGACCTCACCAATTTATGAATATGTTGGGTTGGGTAAAATTGGTCAACTTGTTGTCAACACCGTAAACCCGTTTAAATTAGTATATATTTAGTTTTATGTTGAAATAATATTATTTATTACTTTAATTATAATTTTATATTAGTATTTATGTTTAAAAAAATACAATTGTAATTCGCATCTCAAATCTCGGTACTGACAACACTACACATTCCACTTCTCAATTACGTCTCATACTGTCCAACCATGAATTGTTGAGCTCTCTCTCTCTCTCTCTCATAGTAAATACAATATTATATATTATATATTCATGTTTTTTTTATTTAAGTTGTCACATTAAACTTGTTTCCAATTTAAGTTCTTTAAGTTGGTTTAATATTTTTTTTATTTTATTTATATTTTTTATTTCAAATTGGTTGATCGGGATTCAACCAATTTATTTAATAGGTTGGTGGGTTGAAAATCCCAACTCATTTAAATAAACAGGTTGGATTGAAGCATTTAATAAATGGGTTGAAGAAACAAACTCCATGTCGACCAATTGCCAACTTTATTCAACCTCCTAAAATCCAAAAACTTGTTTATAAATGACTCTTTCAACCCCAAAATCACGTCAAAAAATATTCAAAATAGATGAATGTTTTGATATTTGCCCCTATTTTTTGTTATTGTTCATGGCATCCCCAATCTTAGAAACTTTATTTCCTTTCTTGTTCATTAGGTTTCTATTGCGATTTTTTTTTCTTTTTTTTTTTTTTTTTTTAATTTTGGTTTAGGTTTTTAGAACCTAGAAGCTAGATTTGTGGTATGTCAATCCCCCCTTCATCTTCACTAGATTAAACAATTGCGATGGTGGAGACTAGAAGTTGGATTTGGGTTTCGAGATTTACATTTCACTTACATCTTCACTAGTTTAAGCAATTATGGATTTTGTTTCGTTAAATTCCTATGCATTTTCAACCTCATTTTGATGTGTAAGAATTTTGCTGAATAAGAGATTTAAGACTTAGACCTAATAGGATTAATGGGGGTTCTCTAACGCCTTGTTGTTTAGTTTTTATTTGGAGGGGAGGGAAGGGAAGCAATTGATTAGGCAAAAAAAATATATATATATATGTTCTTGAATTTTTTTGAAGGGAAAGGAATGGAATAAATATATTAGTAAGCAAAATTTTGCCCTTCTCTCTTTGAAATTATCCTCCCAGATGTGAGATAATTCACACGGGAAGGTTTTTAACTAGGTTAGATGGAAGAACTATTGATGTGAGATTCATAAACAAAAGGGATGTAGCCTACCAATTTTTTAAAAGTTCGACTGAATTTAATCAAACACATGAGCAATTTATGTAATTTACTCTTGATTTGTATAGAACTCAAACACATAATTTTTTTTTATATAGTTTTCAATCTATATCTATATATACTTAGGCTGCGTTTGGTGCGCTAGCTGAAAAGTTAGCTGGTAACTGAAAAGCTAGTTGATAACTGAAAAGTTAGCTGATAGTTAAAAAGCTAGCTGTTAGATGAGAAGCTAGCCGATAAAAAATAGTGTTTGGTAAAAACTAGCTGATAAGCTAGCTGGAAGATATAAAATTACATAAAATGACATTTTCCAAAATAAGTTTTCTATAATTAATTAAGGGTATATTTGGAAAGTTTGTAAAAAAAACTCCTAAAAAACTACTCTAATTAGCTTTTTAAAAGCTAACTTATAAGCTAGCTTTTTTGGCTTACCAAACACGACAACCTAAAAAAACTCGAAAAAACTACTCTAATTACCAAACACTATTTTTTATCCTCTCCTCCATAAGTCCAATTTAGAAAGCGATTTCTGGACTCAAAAATGGGTAAGTCCCCTTCGGGAACTTATTTAGACGTGCTCCTTGCTTCAAGATTCAATTTGACTGGTTGTAGGCCCAAAACGGAGATCCGTAGCCAAAGTTATGGCCGTTTCCGTGAAGCCCCTTTAGTCACACGATCGCGGGCCTCTAGAAACGCAAGTGCCTGATCCTCCACACTAGGGCCCGCATCATCCCCTCCCGGGTAGACAAAATTCGACCTCGAATGTGTAACAGGATCATCATCAGAAGAATCCTCATGAAAAGGAAGTAAATGTTTCACATTGAAAACATCAGAACATCGAATGTGACTTGGCAGCTTCAAACGATAAGCATTGGAATTGATCTTCTGCACAATCTCCACATGTCCAATCTTTTTGGCTGATAGCTTGTTGTACTCACCAACTAAAAAACAATCCTTAGTCAAAATAGCCCAAACAAAGTCACCCTCCTCAAAATCAACTTGCCTACGTTTTTTATCTGCATCTTGCTTGTACTTGGAGTTGGCTCGAATCAAGTTTTCATTAACAGTCTTATGAACATCATGTAGACCTTCAACAAAATCCTTCACTTTCTTTGGAACAACACCAGAAATAGGAAGCGACATCAAATCAAGTGGTCCCGGAGGTTGAGCAGAATAGACCACTTGAAATGGACTAAATCCAATACTTCGGTTGACAGCATGATTATGAGCAAACTCAGCTTGACATACTTTCTGATTCCAGCCCTTCACATGATCACCCACCAAACACCGCAAAATATTACCAAGGGACTGATTGACAACTTCTGTTTGC